CTGTGTTCATTGATCCTATAGTTATTTTCTCAGATTTTGGAGTACTTTACAGATCCTTGTAGTAAAGAGAAATAGCAAGTGCTTTTAGTCAATAGACTGCAGTGGAAACTGTGGCAATGCTTCCTTCACCAGCCCTTCGCTTTTATCATCACTAGTATCAGCATCACTTAGATAAAAAGATGATGCTGCCCCTACAAGGAGTTAAAGCCAATTCCATGTGGAGACCTTTTGAAACTAGTCCAAAGGCGTCATCTGGGGAATATTTTGCAATCAGTATTTAGTACGTGTTGAAGGAAAAGTGAAAACAAGGGAGGGTGTCAGAAACTTTCATGAAAGGAGAAATTCTTCTCCAGGCCTCTTGAGTTTTGGATTACGGGTCCAAGGCAACAGAATATTTGAAAGAAAAGATTATCAAGATGTTAAAGTATTTGCTGGGTGCGGTGGCCCACGCCTGTAATCCCAGAACTTTGGGAGGCTGAGAAGGAAGGATCACGTGAGGTCAGGAGTTTGGGACCAGCCTGGCGAATGTGGCGAAACCCCATCTCTACTAAAACTACCACAATGTACAAAAATTAGCCAGTCGTGGTGGCTCATGCTTGTAATCCCAGCTACTCAGGAGGCTCTGTCTCCCCCCAGCCCCCCACCAAAAAAAGATGTTAAAGTATTGATTTAAAATGAAACTTTAAAACAAGTTTGAAGATGAGTAACAAGAAATAGTGGCAGACTGCCAAATGAAATGTGAAAGTTTTATTTTGACAAAAGGCAGATTTCCAGCACTTTTTTTTTTCTTTTTAAGAATATTTTATGTGCTGTGAACATTTTGGAGATTTAAATTTGAATATTGTGTTTTGCTCAGAAAAAAATGGTGGGTATGATGGCTGATTTTTACCTTTTAAGTGGCTTTAAAGGCTGGGTAAAGTCGCTCATGCCTGTAATCCCAACACTTTGGGAAGCTGAGGTGGGAGGATCACTTGAGGCCAGGAGTTCTAGACCAGCCTGGGCAACAGGGAAGACCCCATTTCTATGTGTTAAACGTTTAAGTAGCTCTACTGTGTTTTAGGATAATTTATCTAATAGTAAGTATATGAGTCAGTTAATTGTTTAACGCAGTGGTGGGGCATTGTGCTGAAGCTCAGTCATGCTAAATTTAATTTCTGGTGCTGGACACAGCTGTTTCTACTTGTTATAATTTGCTGTATCTAATGTACATACATGTATATGGGCTGGAAGCTCAGTCCTAAAGTCAGATAAGCAGACGCAAAGAAGAGAGCTGTTGCTTAGTTTTAGAGAAGACTTTTTTCTTCCCTCAGCTCAAGCTGACCCTGTGGAACTGCTAGTGGAGATGCTCTTGTTAGATACTGGCTAGAACTTGTCAAGCTCGTCCGTGAGGCTCTCTCATGTGCTGAGAGAGCCCGTCTTTCCAGCTTCATCTCTGCCACATTCTCCCTTCAGTGTTCACTGTAGCATACCCCTTGCAGTTCCCAGAAAGTGCCTCGTCGTGTGCTTCCCTCTTAATTCCCTACTGCAATGTCATCCTCCTTACGCCGCGCCACACCAGGTAACCTCCTTCTCATCCTACTGAGCACCCTTCCTCGACTCTGCAGCCTATGTTGGTCGTCCCTGTCTCCTTGGTTAATATCTTGTCTATATCCACACAGGGCTCATGTTCAGTCTTACAGTGTCTGCCTTCCGCTAGACTGCAGGTCCCTGAGCAGACAGAGACATGCCTTCAGGGTTGAGTCGCTGTGAGTGAGTGCCCTGGACATGTAGGTGCTCAGGGGGTGCTGGTTTGTTGGGCGTGGTTTCCTGTTGTGCCTCCCTGCCTCCGGCGTGTGTTCTGTCCTGAGCGTGTGTTCTGTCCTGAGCGTATCTTGCTCAGGACATGGAGCGTATCTCCATTCCTTTTCCACGTGGGCAATGCTGAACATTACCCCAGCGTCTGTACCTTGGGTAGTACCTGAAGTATAAAGTATTTAGCACATAGGCAAAGGCCACTACCTCTTTCAGGGACAAAGGCTAGGGAGCTGCTGCCGGGCGTGACTCTAGCGCATTCCTTTGCCTGTGCTGTTGCCGGCTGTGTATCTGCTTCTTGCATCACAGTTCCAGAGTCCCATTTAGCTTGACTGGGGCTGGGCCTTGCGGATGCTGCTCCTTTACCTCCTGACCCTGCTCAGCCAGGCCAGCAGGGGTCGCTGCAGGAGGAAGCCGCTCTCCCGTTCCTGTGTGCTTCTGTGGTGTTCGGACCTTGTTGGCAGTGCCCCCCAGGGCCCAGTGCAAGTGGGGACAGTGGCGGCAGCACCTTTTCGTGACAGGCCTGCCAGCACCCCCTGCCTCTCGGGTGGCTTCCTGCCGATGCTTCTGTGCGCACCTGGGTCAGCAGGAGGCTTCTCCACGTCCAGGGGGCTTCAGCCACACCTTCCCCCGCCGTGTCTCAGCCCAGCCTTGGGGACCTCCGTCCTAGCCCCCCTGGTGCCCTCCTTCAATCCTCATACCCATTAGTGCTCTCTTCCGCCCATTAGTCAGTTCCCTGTTCCTCAGGCCCCTGTTAATTCTTCATTAAACTTCATTCACATCACTGTGTGGCCTCTGTGTTCTGATTGGACCCCAGCTGACACAGATGCCCTCTGCCTAGTTGGCTGAAGGAACCATCCAGGCTTTTCAGGGGCCAGCCTAAATGGCACTTCTGTCACTCGGCAAACATCTGAGTTCCTGCTGTCAAAGAGGCACTGGACCACCCTCAGGGAAGTGAGACCCAGCTTCAGCCCCACAGGAGCTCCAGGACTGGGAGGAGAGCGGTAATGAAGTGTGCAGAGCTAGAGAGGAGGCGGGTGTGTGTTTGGGAGAGTGCAGTGTGACAGAAACTGGAAACAGAAACTTAAAATTTTAGTGTTCTTGTAGGAGCTAAAGGGACAGATAAATGAGAATTCATGAAATTGATGAATACCGCTCTGAGCATAAGTGATGTCCCTAATAGAAAATCTAACCAGGTGTGGTTTTGTTTGTGACTAGTCTTTTTTTTTTTTTTTTGAGACGGAGTTTCACTCTTGTTACCCAGGCTGGAGTGCAATGGCGCGATCTCGGCTCACCGCAACCTCCGCCTCCTGGGTTCAGGCAATTCTCCTGCCTCAGCCTCCTGAGTAGCTGGGATTACAGGCAGGCGCCACTATGCCCAGCTAATTTTTTGTATTTTTAGTAGAGACGGGGTTTCACCATGTTGACCAGGATGGTCTCGATCTCTTGACCTCGTGATCCACCCGCCTCAGCCTCCCAAAGTGCTGGGATTACAGGCTTGAGCCACCGCGCCCGGCTTGTGACTAGTCTTTCCCTTTCCACCAATCACTTGAGGTAGGTGAGGTTTTATTTAGTCTTCTCATCTCTGAACTCCTAAAGGGCAGGGACTGTCTTTTACCTTAATTATCTTGTACCCACAATGATTGTTATATACTGGAGGCATAATAAATGTTAGTTTACTCAATGTCGGGGACGGTCCGGGACGGCACGTCTGCTGGGGGTCTCTTGACCTGCAAGAGGGTCTCAAAACCTGGAAGAGAGCATGCGCTTAAAGAAATAAAGAAAGACAGGAAGTGCAGGGGTCTGGAGGGCTGGATAGGCTGTGCCTAAACAGCAGCCTTTATTTTTCAAAGGCCAGGAATAAATACACTTTGTTTGCTCTGGTTTACGTCATTGCAAGAGGAAATGCGAATCTATACCTTACATGGCCTATACAATAGAGAAGTCAGATACACAATGAGTGGTTGCTACAGGAAATGCAAATCTGTACCTTACATGGCCTATACAATAGAGATGTCAGATACACAATCAGTGGTTGTAAAAAGTAATAGAATTTCCTATGATCACAAAGCTTATTTACATCCAGACATTATTCCTCATGGCTGCAGGTATTTTTGGTTTGATCCTGTTTTAGAACTCAAATGTGAAAAGGTTTTCTGGTTTTGCTCATCAGAATATCTTTTAACCAGATTCTCCTTTGTCTGCTCCTGACTCAACTTATCTCAACTTCCCCATTCAGGAGTCTCTGAGTCTGGGATCAAAGCCATCCGTAAGGTGGCATTTGCTTTGCCAGTATCCCCACAGTTAAACCATTATCTAGGCTACAAGGCAGTCATGCAAGTAAAGAAAAGATTAGAGCTATACTTAAAGAAAGAGTCATAAAGATTAAAAGCGGAAACTGGTTGCTGGTAGGGAGTCACTTGGTCTAGCAGCACCGCATAGTTTAGGCCCAAACGATATCGTGGTTGATATTAGAAACTGATCATCCATCTTTCAGTTCCTTCTTCCCGATAGCTTGACTGCCTCCAGTAGGAAACTGTGTTTGGGATCAAACTCACTGTATGGTGAGACCCACGCCTTTTGGGGGTCTCACACGGGAATGTCCCCCACAACTGAATGGTGATTAGATTGACTTGATCTATTCTGTGTTCCATTTTCTACTCCAAGAAAGCCCAAATCTGCCAGTGTATAGACCGCTAACTCTCAGGTATCCCTATTTCATAGTCATGGAAACTGATGTTAAGTAACTTACCCAAGAGTGCGCTGATAATATGTGATTGACCCCGGCTTTGGTTCCAGGCTGACGCCAAAAGCTTGGTGTTTTCACTACATTTTGCAGCTCTCGCCATGAGTGTTTGCCGGTGGTCGGTCAAGTGCCTGTCCTGTTTGTGTGTGTACACTGACACTCACCTAGGGGTCCTTTTTCCTCTTCAGAGCCATGACCATTTCTTTATTCCTAGAGTCAAAGCCCTCTGGCCATCCAGGTACGCATGGACAAGGTTAGAAAAACTCAGGGCTTGAGAGTCTCTCTTCGTTTGTTTCTTGAAGGTTTCAGAAAGTCGTTTAACGAAGTGTATCCACTTACTAGAAAATTGAACTTGGTACAAGTTGTGGAACGTGTTTAGTTGGGTAAAAGTTCAGTGACAGCTAAACCTTGGGGAACGTGCGTGCTCTTTAAACGCTAACTTACCGTCCCTCTTTCTTCTCAGGTGCTGCTACCCCCGTATGATGATGCCACTGTGAATGGTGCTGCCAAGGAGCCGCCACCACCTTACGTGTCTGCCTAAGCGGAGCTGAGGGCAGCAGCTTGACTTTTTTGACATCTGAGCAGTAGTTCTGTTATTTCACTTTTGCAATGAGCTCTCTGAGCTTGTTAGTTGCTGAAATGCTACTTTTAAAAATTTAGATGTCGGCCGGGCACGGTGGCTCAAGCCTGTAATCCCAGCACTTTGGGAGGCCGAGGCGGGTGGATCACAAGGTCAAGAGATCATGACCATACTGGTCAACATGGTGAAACCCCGTCTCTACTAAAAATACAAAAAAATCAGCTGGGCATGCTGGTGCATGCCTGTAATACCAGCTACTCAGGAGGCTGAGGTAGGAGAATTACCTGAACCCAGGAGGCGGAGGTTGCGGTGAGCCGAGATCGCGCCATTGCACTCCAGCCTGGGTAACAAGAGCAAAACTCCATCTCAAAAAAAAAAAAAAAAAAGTTTAGATGTTAGGTTGAAACCTGTACTTTTCAGCATATCTTTTGCTAGAACACTGTGATAGATGAGCTGTAGAGTTCTTTCTGTAGGATTCGGGGTGTAATGGGCTTCACTAACCTTCCCCAAGCACTGAAACTTCCCCCAAATCTGATGGACCGAAAGTCAGAGAAGTTCGCTTTTGTACCTGCTGGGCTCCAAAGTTAGGCAGTTAGTCACACTTTTTCTCTCTACTCCCTCTATTTTGAAAGTGTGAAATAAAACCAAAAGTAGACAACTTTTTCTTTTTTTTTTTTTGAGATGGAGTTTCGCTCTTGTTACCCAGGCTGGGGTGCAATGGCACGATCTCTGCTCACTGCAACCTCCGCCTCCTGGGTTCTGAGGCAATTCTCCTGCCTCAGTCTCCCAGGTAGCTAGGATAACAGGTATGCACCACCATGCCCAGCTAATTTTTTGTATTTTTAGTAGAGATGGGGGTTTCACCATGTTGACCAGGATGGTCTCGATCTCTTGACCTCGTGATCTACCCGCCTCGACCTCCCAAAGTGCTGGGATTACAGGCATGAGCCACTGCGCCCAGCCGACAACTTTTTCTTAAGCCATTCCAGTGTAGAGAACAAACCCTTATGAAAACAGGAATGTCAATTGTGTAATCATTGGTCTAATTAGGTAAATAGAAGTCCTTATATATGTATCACAAGAATTTGCCCCACAGCATCCCTTATGGCTTAAGTTCAATGACGATTTGCACTTGGTGGTAAAGGATTTTTCTCCATGGCCTAAATCAAGACCATTAGAAAGCGCTAGGCCGTGGGAGCAGTAACCATCTGATGACTGTTCTCGTGCATCTGGGTCCAGGGACATGGGGTGACGTGCCTGGTCTGTGTTAGAGGGTGGGACGGGTGTGTTTGGCGCTGCACGGGATCTGCTGCTCCTCTCCTGGATTCACATCCCGACCCAGGGTCCCGCTTTCACTAAGTGTTCTGCCCCAGCCTGGTTCAAGGAGGTCGTCCAGCTGACTTTACCAAGCGGAACTGGGATATATTTCATATACATTTGCCTGACAACACGGAAAAGGGTTTTCCTCCTCCTTTCCCTCCCAGGTACATTCTACCGCTTTGAACTTCCAAGTATACCCAGTGTCCTTTTAAAATGTAAACGTTTTCAGAAAATTGAAGGTTGCTTTCCTTATATGCGCTTGTTGACTACCGGAACGGTGAGGGATTTTTATATATTCATCTCTTCCAAAGTCAGCAACTCTCCTGTTGGTTCATTATTGAATGTGCTATAAATGAAGTCTTTTGCAATTAAAAAGAGATTTGCCCACATCCAAGATGACCTTGTGACTCTCTGCTGATTGTGTCTGAGGACCTTTCTCCCCACATGTGGCTGGGCAGATGCACACAGTTCAGCCTAAGGAGTAGGCTTTATGGTTTGATTTACGCACAGTGTTTTTAATATCCCAGTGCTGATAAAATCAGCATCTTAGGTCAAGAGGAATGGAGGACAAATAGACTCGAGCTTCCAACATTCCTAACCATGTGTTCAGCTGTTTTGCATATTGATTGCTTTATGTCCATATGCACTTTTAATAAGCAGTTAAGATTTTGCTACATTCCAGGAGAGATTAAAGAAGAGAGATAAGGGGAATTTTTATCCCAAGGAATCAGCCTAAGTTATTTTTTATTTTTTGGTGGATCTCATTGGCATTCAAGAGTTAAACACATGAGTTATTGGGAATGGAGAGGTTCCTGGGGCAGTGACTCATGCCCATAATCCCAACATCTTGGAAGAACAAGGCAAGAGGATCACTTGAGCCCAGGAGTTAGAGACCAGCCTGGCCAACATAGTGAGACTTCATCTCTATTCAAAGAGTACACATTAGCTGGGGATAATGGCATGTTCCTGTAGTCTCAGTTAGGAGGCTCAGATGAGAGGCTAGGTGGAGTCCAGGAGGTTGAGGCTGCAGTGAACTGTGGCCATGATTATGCTACTTGCATTCCAGCCTGGGCGACAGACTGAGACCTCGTCTCAGAATGGGAAAGGCCTATCAGGTAGTTCATGATCCCTGGGGAAGGCACATAGGAAATCACAGTTAATTGCGTGTTATTCCCATGATTTTATAGCTCTTTGCCTAATCATTTTTGCAGTATGAAAAATGGTACATGATCAGGCAAGCCTTACTGGCTCACGCCTGTAATCCCAACACTTTGGGATGCCGAGTCGAGTGTATCACCTGCAGTCAGATTTTTGAGACCAGTCTGACCGACCAACATGGCAAAACCCCGTTTCTACTAAAAATACAAAAATTATCTGGGCGTGGTGGTACAAACCTGTAATCTCAGCTAGTTGGGAAGCTGAGGCAGCAGAATAATTTGAACCCAGGAGGTGGAGGTTGCAGTGAGCTGGGATTGCACCATCACACTCCAGCCTGGGCAACAAAGCCAGACTCCCTCTCAGGGGGAAAAAAAAGAAAAATGATGCATGGTCAAATGGAAGGAAGTGCTGGTTTTCAGAGTCCACATAGGGTTCTTGGAGGGGAAACAAGACTGCTGATCTTGTTCATGCAGCACTCAAATAGCACCATAGACTCAGATATCCCTTCGTTCTTAGAGATCCCTTATGGTGGTGGTGATGCTGGCTTTTCCTGACTTGTCGCATAACCCAGGCTAAGGTCAAGAGCTGCCTCCATATTTACCTCTGCGGAGTAAGGAATTGTCTCCACTATGGGAAGGTTTTGATGTTGGATTAAAACGACCGCTTAGCAGAGCACATTACATGCCTTAGCAGTTCACTGTATCTGTTTGTCTCATTGCTAATCCAGATGAATTCCTCTTCAATGTATTTCAAATCCATTTTGATATCTAGCCCCTTTTTCCTAATTTGTTGTCCACAGAGAAACCGTTATTTCCTCAGTTTTTCAAGTCTGTTTGCTGGGGTAGAAGGAAGAGGAAAACACATACCCTCTGACTTAAATTATGGTCTGTCCACCCTAGCTGGAAACAGCTTCCGTTGATCAAGCTAGTCAGATTTCCAGGATGCCAAGTTATGTAAAAGAGGCTTACGGCCAATAGTCCCTCTCCTTCCTGTACCCTCTTTCCACATGAATACTATGTGCAGTGGCTCCTCCAGAGTCTGTCCTTGTTCCTGCCCTCTTCCTTTCATCCCCAAGAAAAAAAAAACCAGCCAGGCGTGGTGGCTCACACCTGTGATCTCCTCATTTTGGGAGGCCAAGGCGGGCGAGTCATTTGAAGTCAGGAGTTTGAGACTAGCCTGGCCAACATGGGGAAACCCCGCCTCTACTAAAAAATAGAGAAATTAGCTGGGCGTGGTGGCACGAGCCTCTAATCCCAGCTACTCAGGAGGCTGAGGCATGAGAATTGTTTGCACCTGGGAGGCTGAGATTGCAGCGAGCCAAGATCGCACCACGGCACTCCAGCCTGGGTGACAGAGTGAGACTCTGCCTCAAAAAAATAAGAAAGAAAGAAGAAAATTTCCCTACTCTGAGCCTGTCTGCCCCCCTTCCTGTTCTTTTTGTTGTTTGTTTTTGTGAGAGAGTCTTGCTCTGTTGCCCAGGCTGGAGTGCAGTGGCACAATCTCAGGTCACTGCAACAACCTCTGCCTCTGGGGTTCAAGTGATTCTCCTAGCTCAGCCTCCTGAGTAGCTAGGATTACAGGCATGCACAACCACACCCAGCTAATTTTTGTATTTTTAGTAAAGAAAGGGTTTCACCATGTTGGTCAAGCTGGGTCTCGAATTCTTGACCTCATGATCTGCCCACCTCAGCCTCCCAAAGTGCTGGGATTATAGTCATGAGCAACCACACCCAGCACCCCTCCCCATTTTTTACTCTAGCCCTAAACATTTGTGTAGTTTGACTGCTTAACCAAACCACATCTCATTCCGTTTGTCTTTCCTCTCTACCCTCAGTTCATTAACCAACAATAGTGATTATTAATGATCTCGATAGGCCATCTATATAAACTGTAACCATTAAAGTTTTCTCCATAGATGGATGTATTGTATTTGAACTAGTCATCATTTGAGGAAAATCATGCTGTGCGAAGTGAGCATTTTTTTGTGACAGGAAAACTAATGAGACCATAAAAACATGTATTTTCCCTTTTTGTTTTTTAGAGATGTGTTTAGGTTTTGCAGCTGGTCTGGAAACTGACTTAAATATCATTAAACTGCATTGGTGCTGGTCACATGGGCAGTCTCAGGTTCTGGAGGGGAGAGGGCAGGTGTCTTTGCCAAGGTGTTGAAAGAGCAACTCATGCAAAAGAACTGCCGGCAGAAAGCGCAGGCTAAGGCTTTTCTTTTCTTTTTCTTTTTCTTTTTATTTATTTATTTATTTATTTTTTTAAAGACGAGGTTTCACCATATTGGTCAGGCTGGTCTCGAACTTCTGACCTCAGGTGATCCGCCCGCCTCAGCCTCCCAAAGTGCTGGGATTACAGGCGTGAGCCACCGCGCCTTGGCTAAGGCTTTTCAAGGTTCCCCCTTCAGACCTAACAAACACCAAAAATAGTGCCCATGGCCCATATTAAAAAGGGTTTTGGCAGCTCAGATACATGTTTTAAAAGAAAAGGAAAAAGGAGGCATTGCAAGGGTGTCTCCACACCCATGGAATCACTTAA